CATTACTTCAACAAACTGAGCCGGTTAAAATTATTTCCTCCGCAAAATCTTCTACTTGTATATTAAATCCAGTTCCTACGGTTTACTCAAAGAAATTTCCACTGCTATGCTGATGACGCACAATTGTATATATTGACCATATTAAATATATTGACCATATTAAATATATATTAAACTTGTTAAGATTGAAGACTGTATAAAAGACGTAAAGACTGGATGTCGAGTAACTTAACAATTTCTCAGTTGCATCAAGCTCATCTGTAAAAAGCCTTGGTGTCATTATAGACCCTGATCTGTCCTTCGACGCACACATAACTAATATTACTAGAACAGCCTTCCTGCATCTCCGCAATATTGCTAAATTGAGAAATGCATTCTCTCTACAGGATGCAGAAAAGTTAGTTCATGCATTTATTACTTCAAGGCTAGATTACTGTAATGCCCTGCTGGCTGGATGTCCCAGCAAAAGCCTTAACAAGCTTCAGCTGGTCCAGAACGCTGCAGCCAGAGTTCTTACTAGAACCAGAAAGTTTGACCATATCAGCCCAGTTTTATCAACCTTACACTGGTTACCAGTTAAATTTCGGACTGATTATAAAATTCTCTTACTGACTTATAAAGCACTAAACGGACTCGCCCCTCTGTACCTGAGTGAACTTCTCTCTCACTATGAACCATCACGCCTACTTAGATCACAAGGTGCTGCTCACTATTAGTACCTAGAATTAATAAAGTCACATCAGGGGGTGGAGCTTCTCATACAAAGCCCCCCAGAAGAATAATCCTCCAGTCAGTGTTCAGGACTCAGACACAGCCTCAGTCTTTAAGTCTAGGCTAAAAACCCACTTGTTTAGTGGAGCCTTTGGTAATTAGTTTTCCCTGTTAGATAAAAGGTGCAGATCTGGGGTTCATGGTCAGAGAGTATTATGGTAAACTGGGAGTGTTGGTGCCGTCGTCCTGCTGCTCACGTGTTCACTCAGGTTTGCTGACGGTGGAGTGGAGGGGCGCCGACATCTCAGGGAGCCTCATGTCTCTGTTACCTTCTGTCTCTCCCTCTTAGTGAGGCTGTGATATCCAGACCTGCCGGAGTCTCTGCTGCTCTGTTACACTGTAATCTGTGATCAGTCACTCTTTACAGAACTGACTCTCTGTGTGTTTCCTTTACTCTGCCGAGTTAAACAGCTGCCCATCCTGGACGTCTGATGATGTTGCTTCTTCTGCCTTGATCGAGTGCCACTGCTCACCAGCCTTCTGGACTGGTTTGACCACCATGGAGCTTCACGCTGTACAACACTTGCATGAACTGACCCACCTGATGCTCAAACTATCTAAACATAGACATCATTTCATCTGCCTCACAATACACTGAGCTCTTCTCATATTCATACTAATGGATCATTATTATATGTTTTCTTACAGCAGTCACTAACGTTCATTAACTCTCATTTTCACTGTGACGAGTTCCTAACAGCAGTCACTGTTTGCCACGAGTAACAGTGACTTTTCCCATTTTACTTTTTTCTGAATTTCCTTTTTCCCTTCATCTTCACAAATAGCATTGTTGACATATAAAAGTTCATGATAGTTATGACCCTCCATTGAGCTCATTTGGAATGAGTTGGAGTGATTATGCTCTATTAAGTACCTTAAGAATGAGAGGGAATGGTGAAGCTCCACTAAGCTAATATGGGATGAGTTGGAGTGCTGAAACTCCAATAATCATCTTTGGGGTGAGTTAGATTGATGGAATTGCACCGAAAATATTTAACATGAATAGGAGTGATTTAGCTCCACTGAACAAACACCTTTGAGAGGGGCTGGAGTGAGGGAGCTCCACTGAATACACTTGGGACGAGTTGAAGTGATTAAGCTCCATTTAACACTTGGGATGAGTTGTAATGATGATGCTCTATTAGCATCTTTTAGATGAGTTTGAATGATGTGGAACTGCTTTGAATTGGCATGATAACGTTCCACATGAACATCTTTAAGATGAGGTGGAGTAATGAAGCCCCATTAAACATCTCTGGGATGATTTGGAGTGATGAAATTCTGTTAACCATTTTTGGTGCAACAGAAAACAACTCCACATCTTTGGGATGACCTGGATTGAAAAAGCTTTACTAAACACCTTCAGTTGGAGCGTAACCAGGTCATGTTCCATCGGCATTCAAGACTGTCAGGGTGGTATCCAACCTGAAGAAGCCCACACTTCACAGCTTTGATGTCAACAGCTACCAACCGGCATCACTCCTTTCTTTCCTCTCAAAAATTCTTGACCATGCAGTCTAATCAACTGTCTTTCTCACTCACTCTGCACCAACTGTGCAGTGATGGAGAAACTCCAAGATCAGCCAAATTGTCATTGGTTCTGATTCCTCTTGACATCTTTGCAGCCATCAACACAATCAACCACAAGATCCTGCTATCCGTCCTCAACAACATTGGAATCACAGCCTCTGCATGGAAGTGGTTTGAGTACCAAGTTTTCAATTGTATTTTGTAAATATAAACAAATTTAGAATTTAATGCCTGCAACACATTCAGAAAAAGTTCAGACAGAGGCATGTTTACAATTTGTTACATCAACTTTCCATTTAATTACACTTTTTAATACCTTGGGAACTGAGAATACTAATTTTTCCAGTTTGTCAAGTGGAATTCCTGTCTATTTTTGCTTGATACAAGATTTCAGCTGCTCAACAGTCCATGGTCATTGTTGTCTGATTCTACTCTTTATGAAGCACTATACATTTTCAATAGGAAACAGACTTGGACGGCAGGCAGGTCAGTCAAGCACACACACTCTATGTCTAGGAAGCCACAAAGTGGTAGCACATGCAGAATGATGCATCTTTAGCACAGAAAACTCAATGTCAGTTTTTTTTTTTCCCCAAAAACAAGTTAAAATGTGGAATCATCTGATCACAGCACACTTTTCCACTGTCTCTCAAACCATCACAAATGAGCTCAGGCCCAGAGAACTCGATGGCGTTTCTGTATAGAATTGATGTATGACTTTTGCCTTGTAAAAGTTGCATTTTTTGTTGCATCAGCATGCAGTGTTGAGTAACATTGGTTTTCTGAAGCACTTCCAAGCCTGTGTGGCTATAATTAACACAGCAGCGTGATGGTTTCTCATGCAATGCTGTCTGAGGACTCAAAGGTCATGCACATTCAACAGTGGTTTCCAGCCTTGCCCTACTTGGATTGAGATTTCTCTGTATTCCCTGAATCTTTTCACATTATTAGGTATGGTAGATGGTAAAATACCTAAATTCTTTGCAATCTTGTGTTGAGAAATGTTTTTTAGAACTGTTTGACAATTCACTCAAAAGGTCTGGCACAAAGTGCTGAGCCATGACGCATTTTTACCCAATCACGACACCCACACCTGTTACCAACTCACCTGCTCACTGTGGAATGTTTCAATATTCTATAAACTTTTCACCCTCATTTTGCCTCTGTCCCAACATTTTTGGGGTGTGTTTCAGGCATCATATTCAAAGGTTTTGGAACATTTTTGGAATCAGTGACAAAGTAATGATGTTCCACTGAAATCCTTTGAGATGAAATGTAACAATGACATTCCAGTAAAATCTTTGAAGTGAGTTTGAGTCATTAAAGCTCCAGTGAGCTCCACTGGGATTAGTATGTGACCTTATTAATGCTGCTGGGGCTGAATGCAATCAAATCCTCACAGCAATGTTCAAACATCTATTGTAAAGTCTTCCCAGAAAAGCAGAGGCTGTTACTTTAGAGGCTGTTATTTAAGGAATGACTGACATACACTATATGAACAAAATTATTGGGACACCTACACATCACACCTACAGGAGCTTTTATGAATCCCATTCTAAATCCATAGACATTAATATGGAGTTGGTCCCCCTTTGCAGCTCTAACAGCTTCTGGGAATCTTTCTACAAGATTTTGGTGTCTGTGGGAATTTGTGTCCATTCATCCAGAAGAGCGTTTGTGAGGTCAGACGCTGATGTTGGACGAGAGGGCCTGACTCACAATCTCCATTCTAGTTCATGTTCAAAGGTGTTGGATGGGGTTGAGGTCAGGACTCTGTGAGGGTCAGTCAAGTTCTTCCACACCAAACTCCCCCAGTCAGGCCTTTATGGAGCTGCTTTGTGCACTGGGGCTCAGTCATGCTGGAACAGGAAAGGTTCGTCCCCAAACTGTTCCCACAAAGTTGGAAGCATAGAATTGTCCAGAATGTCTTGGTGCTGAAGCATTAAGATTTCCCTTCACTGGAACTAAGGGTTCTAGACCAACCCCTGAAAAACAGCCCCATATCATCATCCCTCCTCCACCAAACTCTACAGCTGCACAGTGCAGTCAGGCAGGTAACGTTCTCCTGGCATTCGCCAAACCCAGACTCGTCCATCAGACTGACAGATAGAGAAGCTGATTGGTCACTCCACAGAATAGAGTCTAGTGGCGGCGCTTTACTCCACTCCGCCCCGACAATTGGCAATGGGTGTGGCTGAAACACCTGAATTCAGTGATTAGGAGGGGTGTCCCAATACTTTTGTCCATATAGTGTACTTAATCACAGACAGCCTGTAAAAACTACACGCGCTGCAGATTCATATTTGTATTTTATGATGCACGTTGCTGGAATTTAGAAAAAGTCATTTTCTTGAACTCACCTTCTGTTGACCACAGCCCAAAAGCAATGAGCATGCAAATGTTTGGACAAAAGGCCAGAAAAATATACATGATCATCGCTCGTCTGTCTGTTTCTGAAGAGGAAGAAATAATGACTTTAGTACAGTTCATGTTTTCAGAATTTAGATTCATATTTTCGTTGTTTTATTGATTGAAAATGGCTTTGTTCACTGTCAAATAACTATTTTCAAAAATTACCACCACTATTTAACAGTGATGCCAAAAAATATAACTATCAAAATGAACACCAAAGAACATCTAACAATATAATATCAAAACAGGAATAAATTACATCACTGAATCTTCAGGACACTCTGTACCTTGTTTGTGTAGGAAGATAAAAACAGGGATTCCGAGTCCGACAGCGAGTGTTAATGAAGTGAAACACAGCAGAAGGATGAAAACGTGGAGAGGAGAGAAACCTGTATGAGAAACACAGCAGCTCTTCAACTAGCAGAAGCACAGTGACCGCATTAAAATCATTATTAATCACGTAGAACAACTGAGTCACTTATCTCTTATTTTCAAACATTTCACAATCAGCGATTCATAAATAAATTGAAAGGTATGTTATAGTTAAGGCTCCACTGTTACCTATTTGCTGGATGATCACTGTGGTCTGTCCTGAAAGGTCAGCAGTGTGGACTTCACAGATGAATTCTCCTTTATCTTCCATCCTAACGTCCTTCAGCCTCAGTGAGAAGTTTCCTCGAGGGATTTCAGTCGTGAAGAACTCGGCTCGTTCTCGATAGCTCTCGTGAGAAAACTCTGAGAAGGTCTGGTTTTCTTGAAAGAGCAGAACTGGGATGTCTGGGTATTTTTTCCAGGTCACTTCCTCCAGCTGGTGGACTGGAATCTGTGAGTCTACGGAGCAGCTCAGTATCACCTCCTCACCCACTGAGGTGAAGATGGGGTGGAGCGCTCCCCTCACCACCAAATGCTCTGGAACAGTTCAGACAGAGAAGATGGACACAACATACATTGTAACACTGTTATTGTTATGTATGTACAGCTACTTGAGTTAATACTACTTTCAATGTAAGTGTCTATCACTGTAGCATACAAGTAAAACTGTGTACAGTGAACAAGATTTATAAAATGTGTGCTGCTATTAGAATACATAACATCTTTTTGGGCCAGACTTCAATAGGCAGTCTAAGTATTTTATACACTGCATTAAAATGTCAAGATATTATTTAAGTTTAGCTCAATTACAGATTACAGAGACCATAGTTACCCACCACTCAGTTTAATCTCCACTGTGGTCTCTCTGTAGTCCTGACTGGAGGAAACTCCACACCTGTAAACTCCAGCATCTTCTGGTGTGACGTCACTGAGTAAGATGGAGAAGTTCCCTCTCGATATCTCCTCTGGGAAGAAGTCGGCTCGGCCCCTGAAGCTCTGACTCTGCAGCTCTGCTCTGATTTCTTTCTGCTGGAAAACGTTCACTACAGACTCTGAGTCTGTTCTGCTCCATTCCACTCTGAGACCCTCCAGAGGGAGGGGGTCCTGAGCAGAACACGGCAGCAGCACAGCGCCCCCCAGCGGGACCACCAGAGGACCGGAGGGGCCTTCAACATGGAGACCTGCAGGAACATCAGACAGTAACATCAGTCATGAGTCAGTTAGTTCATCATCTTATTAACATACTATCTGTGTTTTACCAAAACTAATATAATTAATAATGTAAAGGACAGGAAAATAATACCTCATCTACACGGCACAAACTTATCTACATTTTGGAAAAACCTTTTCATTTATACTTGACAAATTACAAATTGAGCAAATATACTTTCACCCTGTGGGTGATGATAACCATAAATAAATAAATAAATAAATAAATAAATAAATAAAAGTGTAATGTAAAATCTCTTATGCATTTCTTTGTTCACTGTAGTGTCCACTGTAGTGCTGTACAGTGTTTATTTTAATGATGTTACCTTGAAGTCCAGCAGCCAGAAGCAGCACAGAGAACAGTAATAAATCCATTTGACCTGCAAAATATAAAAGTTAGGATATGAAAATATCACTGATTAAAGTATATAGTTAAAAACTGAAATGTATAGATATTAACTTACCTGTTTCCCTCTGTGGCTGGTGCAGTCAGAGTGTCTCCTGGAAGACTGGAATGAGGAAAAACACCCTGCAAACTGAGAACCAAGAAGGGGCAGGAGCGTCGTTTTGCCTTAATGGCATTTATTGATATGGGTCAAGATGGTCAAGAGGAAAATATCTAAGTATATTTGAAAGAAGGTTCATTATTGAGGCACAGATGGAGAGACTACTGTGGGCTGTGTGTTCAGATCAGTGTGAAAGACGTAGTGAACAGGCTGGAAAGTGCACTGTACAGGAACATTAAGAAAATCATCTGAATTACAGAGAACATAGAGTTGGAGTAACTCACTGTGACTAGATCTTCACAGTAATCAGTGTTTGCATACTTGGCACCAGATCCAGGAACTGAGTGGCAGAGATTTTACACTGATTTACCCCAACAAATCTGACTCAACCAGTTTAACCACAGTCCTCAAAAAGCATCAGGGCTTCACACAAACACCATGATCATTACAACCTACTGTACTAATGCTGACTCTTCTCATTATGGAGGACAGAGAAAATCACAAATTAGACAATAATCAGTGTTAATCTACCTCAGACTGGATGAGCAGAGCACTTCTGTGAACTGTGAGCTTAAATTCTACTGTTTAAAAACTGAGACTAGAACAGAAATGAGGTTCAGCCTCAAACAGCTTCAGTTACTTTACTGCCTTAAATCTGCCTCACTGTACAGACATCACATCCCACAGCTTCACCAGTGATATATCATTACTGGTGTTGGTATGAAATGATGCACACACACACACACACACAGCCACACACACACACACACACACACCCACACACACACTCACACACACACACACACACTCACACACACACACACACACACACACACACACACACATGCCTGTGAGCTTCCACCCAGTATTGCAGTAGCCAGGTGTTTTGTTACTGTAAGAGGCTGAATGGTTAGTTGTTTTGCTTTTGCACAGCTTGATGAGTAAATGTGGAGTTCAGTGTTTGGCTAATCAGTTCAGCCCTGCGGGCTCCAGCTGAGTGACCAGCTTCCTGTGGATTAAACAGTAAATGAACATTAGCCACCATGCACACTGCTGTTCAGACTCAATCCACGCAAGTGTGTATATTGTCTTGTGATAATTGTTTCTGGTCCCAGGAGTTTGTGCCACTTCACTTACTCTGCTAGTCAGGAACGTGCACAGACATGTGAGGGGCTAACCTGAAAAAGGGGAGCCCCTCGATTTCAGCTGTCACCCACCAGCAGATACCTGCATGGTGTGGAGTTAAACTTGGTTGGTTTGGTTTATGATTCAGATTCTGCTGTTGCACATTAGTTGAAAATAAACTGAATTAACTGATCATCTAACTGAAATATACCAACTAAAATGAAATAATAAAGATAACAGATGGACCTGAAGGAAACATAGGAAAACTGTTCACCTCTAATCAGCCACACTAGGCTGTCCCTCCCTCCAGGGCCTGTGGAGGGGTTAGAGAAGAAAAGAAAAATGTTAGACATAAAACAACATGTTGGCTCCTACTCTCACATTTACGTGCCACATCTGAACTAACGATGGTTTCCCGCTCTAACCCTGTTAACCACAATATGATCAATGATATAATCACTCAAACTTCACAACTGCCAGGAGAATATTTACATTTGTGAACATGCTGACTCCCTCTGACTGAGCCCTGCCCAAAATAAAAACCATTAAACGTTTATGCTGGTGTCTAATAGTTTCTAATGGTATTCTATGTTCTCCTGATGGGCTGCTATCACAGTGTAAAAGACTCTAATTGTTTAACAGAAGTGCTGACTCCAGATGCATTTGATGGTTTCCTAATAGGATTTAAAGTTGTCCTAAGGAAACTGGTGGTCTCTAACGGTAACCATTAAGCCAGTTCCCATTAGAAAACAAAACCACCAGGTTTCAATCCTAATGGTTCTAATGGTCTTTGTTCGGGAGAGTACTAACTCATCACAACCCTGTGTGAAATGAAAATGTGCTGTTCTGGCTGCTGATCTTTCACAGTTAAAGAATGTGATTTTCATGATGTTCAGTTTGTTATACGGCTCTGAAAGACCTGCTCTACTGTTTTGTTCTGTCACGTTATCACTCTATGACTGTGATTTATTCTAGCGCCTGCTACTGGCCATGGACATGAGGGAGGTGTGGTCATGTGTGGAGCACCAGACTTGCAGTAAGAGAACCTCAAAACATATAAATATGTTGTTGTTGGTGAGGAGATGTGCACCTGTGTTGCCTGTGGTATTGCGCGCTGTGCTGGGTTAGTTAGAGTGGGTTTATGTTTTAGTGACTGTCGAGAGGAGAGCTTGGCTACGAGTGCTCTGCCCTTATTTTCAGTTGCTGTTTCAGTGGCCAGCAGAATCAGGACCCGCCCTGCGTCTCATTCTGTACTGACATCACAATATATTGTAGCGCAGGTGCAGAGTAAGACACAGGAAAGGTGCTCTTTCCTGAAACACTAGCAGAAAAGCAAATACAGAGCACTGAGCTCTCGGGAGAGGTCACCATTAGTCATACACTTCACCCCCAGAGTGACCAAACACAAAACACCCACACAATGACCCCACAGCCCAACACAGAATTACACAGTAACCACATCCCACATACCTTTAACTAACAAACAACATTTAACAACATTAAAGTCCCTTTTAGCGCCAGTTGGTAGCAGGTCGCTACAATATGTTGAAACTGGCTGCTCACTCACTGCTGAGTTCACGTCTGTATTGCATTGTTTAATCCTACTCAGCATGATGATTTTCCTTTTCACTCACATGGTCATATATTGGATCTGATATTGTTTACTGGCCTTGATGATAAATCTATATTTCAGATCACAAACTTGAATTGACTTGAAAAACCGAATGTTTAAAAAATGAAAAGCTTTTAACTCCTGAATTACTGAAAAAGCCACAGTCCTGATGTTGTTTTGAGTCTGTTTATACTCACCTGTTTTCTGTCGCTCTGCAGACTTGCTTCCTTTCCTATTTCTCCGAGCTCTGCTGCCTCGCTGTTCTCCCTTCTCACAATTCCCCTCTGCCACAACATAATTTATGGCACCCTCAATGATTACACTCCTCTAAAGACCAGGACGATCTCTGCCCTTCATTCCTCTCCATGGTTCATACATGGAAGTTTAGTGATGAGAGCCACTGCGTCTTGAATATCTTGAAAATGCATGAAAAACCCCAAGAAAATCCACTTCAGAAAGGTCATTTTAAACATTATATGTAATAATGCAACAATTAACCAACATGACCTCAATAATCAGTGTCTGAGTGTGTTAACCGCTGACGTCTGCCTTCAAAAATTTGCAGATAGATATTTAAATTGTCTCTAGATGGCACTGTCCACCTCTTAAATGAATGTGTTAATTTTATCATTGCTATGCTAAAAAAGCTTTTTATGTAATTATTTTAGAATTCTGGTTAAATATCTGAGAAACGTCTATTTCATGAATAATTTCAATAAAATAATTAAATTACTTGATTTGTGTGTGTGTATCTTGTTTCCATCACTTGCAGAGCTTGTTCCATTTTCCAGCTATAGCAGAACTCTGTATGGTCAGTAATGCAGAGGGAACTGGATCATATCTGCCATGTTAACCCAGAACCCACATCCACCACTTCACTAATAAACTGGGTTCTTTAACGCTGATGTCGACTGTGAATGATATGGGGGGAGCAACTGCCTCCTCTATTGGACGTGAGTGAAAGTTAGACCTATTCAAATTTCACTTGTATTATTAAGTAGTTCAATTTATTAATTATATATACAAACCAGCCCTAATTTTGCCGAAGCACTTTTTCCCACCAAATCCAACCAAAATCCACCCTTTTGCCAGCCCCGCACTTAGCATATCCAGAAATATGAGAATGCCCTAAATGCTGCCTGTTCCTCTGACTACTTTTCAGTGTTTTTGAGACAAAATTAGCAAAATATACTGATATTCTTTCCACAGAGCAGTCAGCTTTTCTCAAACACCCTCTCAGTTACCTCCTAACATGTTCGCTAGCTTTACTATGACAGATTCCCTCCCTGTCTGTGAAATAATCACCAAGTCTGGCTCCTCCTGCTGTCAGCTTGTCCTCACATCTCTTTTCCAGATTCGTGTCTCTTTCATCTCCTACAGCCCGTTTAACAAGTACGTGTCTGTCTGTCTGGCTCTGTCTCCACTGACCTTAAACAGCTGCAGTCACAGTCATTCTTCAGAAATCTAGCCTTGGACTTAACTTGCCCTGCAAATTACAGACCAACCTCCACAGTGAACAGAGAATGATGGGACAGAAGAGGAAACAGTGGTGTCCTCACTGCGCCGCCCTGCTGGACTTTAAGGATCTCAGCTCTGCTGTGTGTGACACCCTTTCTTTCCACACCAGCAGCAGCTGAACATCTCCACATCAAGCCAAGTCAAAGTTTATTTATATTGTGCTTTTTACAACAAGCGTTGTTGTGAAGCAGCTTCACAGAAAAATCCGGGTCCGAGCCCCCATGAGCGTCGCCAATGACGACAGTGGCAGGAAAAACTCCCTAAGAGCAACAGGAAGAATCAAGGCAGAAGAAGAACAGCATCAGACCCGCAGGATGGGCAGCTGTTCAACTTGGCAGAGTAAAGGAAACACAGAGAGTCAGTTCTGTACAGAGAGACTGATCAGATTACAGGGTTAACAGAGCAGCAGAGACTCCGGCAGGTCTAGATATTACAGCCTCACTAAGAGGGAGAAACCAGAAAGGTAACAGAGTCATGAGGCTCCCTGAGATGTCGGCGCCCCTCCACTCCACCGTCAGCAAACCTGAGTGAATGAGAGCACAGGTGCACATTGTAGGTCTACAAATACCGACTGTAGCCCATTTTTTGCCACACATTTTTAAAACATGTTGAGG